TGTATCAGTATTTTATTTTATCTCAATAAAAATTTTGGCTTTTGTATAAGGGGTTAATATCCAGCATATTTAAACAGCTCATACAACTCAACATCAAAAAAAGAAACAACCCCATTAAAAAATGGGCAGAAGAACTGAACAGTCATTTCTCCAAAGAGGAAATGCAGATAGCCAACAGGAACATGAAAAGATGCTCAACATCACTAATCATCAGGAAAATGGAAATCAAAACCACAGTGATATATCAGCTCGCACCTGTCAGAACGGCTACCATCAAAAAGAAAGCAAATAACAAATGTTGGCAAGAATGTGGAGAAAAGAAAATCTTTGCACAGTGTTGGTAGAAATGTAAACTGGTGCAGCCACCACCTAAAACAGTATGGAGGTTTGTCAAAAAACTAAAAATATAACTACCATATAACCCAGCAATTCTACTTCTGGGTATATATCTGCAAAAAACGAAAAACACTAATTCTAAAAGATACATGCACCCTAATGTTCATAGCAGCATTATTTACAATTGCCAAGATGTGGAAGCAATCTAAAGTGTCCATCACAGATGAATGGATAAAGATGTGATACACACACACACACACTGAAATACTACTAAGCCATAAAAAGAATAAAATTTTGCCATTTGCAGCAACATGAATAGATTTGGAGGGCATTTTGCTAAGCGAAGTAAGTCAGAAAAGGACAAACACGGTATGATATCACTTATATGTACAATCTAAAAAATACTACAAACTAGTGGATTTAATAGAAAAAAAAAAGAAGCAGAATCACAGATACAGAGAACAAACTTGTGGTTACCAGTGGGAAGTGGGGAGGGAAACTACAGGGATGGGGGAGTGGGAGGTACAAACTATTGGGTGTAAGATAAGGTCAAGGATGTATTGTACAACACCGGGAATATAGCCAATACTTCGTAATAACTATAAATGAAAAGTAACTTTTAGAAACTATTTTTTTTAATTTGGCTCTTGTGTCAACTCTGCCTAAATTAAAGTAAGTGGGAAACTAGGAAAACTTGGAACTTGAACATCTTTTATTCAAACTATGTGTTAATGTAATTTAAAGATTTTTATTGTAAGTTTCATCCTCCTGGAATGAGTAAGGCAGCACATTTTTATTGCACAGATTGATATGTGCCATTTATTTAATTTTTAATTGTATTTTCAGTCCTCACTGTCTATGAGCCAACCAAATTTCATGAAAAGTTAGTTAAGCCCTATATTTTAACCTTCTTTATAATATAATATCCTCTACAGAAAATAATTACAGAAACAGAAAAATGACTTCTCCAAGGAAGATAATGATGCCACTTCCTGAATTATCTCTTTCAAGAAGTACTCCTTTTATATTCTGGAAGAATTACAAATTAATATTCCAACTCCAGAAATCAGTAACTACAATATGAGAGTGACAACACTGGAAAGAATATCCTGAGATTTAATTTACTAGCAGGAAAGAACTCTCTGAGAAAAAAGACTGAGAACACTGAGCTCTCTTCTGAAAAGATGGAAAGACCACTTTCTGCCACATAAATGAAGTCAGGACTGGTACAAAACATTAACTTGCTATTATTTAACCTCCCCATCCTGCCTATTTTGGCCTAATAGGAATGTCACCCACTAGGTAGACCCTGGAGTCCAACCCCATCCCCAAAATTCTGCTTTTCCTTTTTGGAATAATGATCACTTCCTCCCAAACAAACCAACCAAACCCAAGTATTGAACCTCTGACAAACTGTTATTAAGGAAATTGGATGGGATCAGGGATCAGAGAAAAGATACTCTCTCAAACCAGTCTAAGGTGAACCAAGAAGAGAAGAAGTTGTAGCAGCAATTAGATTTAACTGTTCAGGTTGAAGGATTATTGATTCCTTTGAGCAACAAAGGAAAGGATTTCAACTACCAATAAGGAAAGGTGTTTGAAAGTAATTGGAAAAGAAATACCCCCACTCTTTCTTTCCAAGGTAGTGTTAGGGCTAGTTTGGCTGCATAAACAACTAGTGAAAACATGAAAACTGTAATGTATTCAAAGGCAATCCTTAAACTTCAGCGGTTCCCAATGGCAAAAATAATATCTAATATCACACACTCCTATCTCTAAATGTTTTCAAAATTTCCCCCAACAATGTTTATTGTGGTAGATCCTTATTCTACAAATCTTTGCAGGTTGCACCTGTTTCATACATCACCACCATAAGCAAACTTAGAGGAGGGAGAAAAGAAGGAATGGGAAATTTTAAACCAATACAAATCAATTTGATACACACACACCACACACACAAACAACTGTTTCCCGTTTATGTAAAAAGTGGGGTCCAGTGGTAAATGTGACAGAGGGGGAAACAGACATCTGGCTAACTCCCAAGGCAAAAATCATGACTCAACAAAGTTTTCAGACGGGACAGAATGAGACTTTGCATTTGTCTTGAGTTCATCTTCAGGCCAAGAAATGCTCTCTGAACTGGGTGCTGGGAAACTTGAGTGTTTGCCCTGCATCTGTGACAACTGTCTTTGAGGCCTTGGGCAAAACTAAAAGTCTCTAGGTCTCAGTTTCCTCATCCGTAGGTGATCGCCCAAATCCCACATAGCCTTATAGTATATACTGAGATTCCCTCTTTTTACAACCTAAAGGGAATTGGTCCACTGGGGGGAGCTGCAGAACACCCCTCTCCTCACAAACTCCAGGGTCTCAGGGCCTCAGGGCCTCAGGGCCTCAGAGCCTCAGAGCCTCAGACCCAAATTCTGGGAAGATGCTGCTGTCCTAGAAGTAGGTGGGTAGAAGGTGCAAAGCCCTCTTTGTAAGAGGGTGGCCACAATTTCAGGAGTCTGGTCCCTAAGATTCCGAAAGTACCCTCCACCCCAACCCCCTGACTCCGTTTAGATTCCGCTGGAATGAGGGCCCAGCTGATGTCCGGAAAGCCTAGCAAGGGGTTGAGAAATACCAAGATGGTGGGGGAGGGGGGAGCTTTCCAGCCTGGAGGAGGGCTGAAACAGAAAGAGGTGCTGGGGACCAGCCGGGCAGGGGAAAGGCGCATGGGGCTGGGCAGGAAAAGGGCAGCCCTTAACTGCTGCTGAGCCCCCTAGCTTGGCCAGAGGGGATCCAAGGCCCGCGCCTCCTGGGCTCACTGGCGCGGAGCGAGGGGGCGGGTTCGGGAGCAGAGGCTACAGAGCCCGGTGGGGACGCGCTGCTGCGACCCCATCACTCCCTAGCCGCTTCTGACCCATCCCTCGGCCTTGTCCACAAGAAAGCGCAGCAAAACAAACTCGTGCCGGCTTCCTGTTGTGCAACCCTGTCCCGAGTAGGTCGGGCCGAATGTGCGCCGCCGCTGGCCGGCAGTTGAGAAGCCCAAGAGGCAGAGACTTGAGTGTTGTCCGGCCCAAACCCGGATCCGAGGGAAGCCACATCCCCTCTCCCTCGCAGCTCCCCGGGGGCACGCCCCCAGCGCCGCACCCGCTGCGCGGGCCCGGAGTCCCCAGCGAACTAGTGTCCTAATCCTCTGGTCTCCTTTCACTTCTTGCCTCCTAAACACCGCCAAGAAGTCGAGGGCGCGACCTGCGAAGCCAGAAACCACCTTTCCCAAAGTTTCTCCCTACAGGTACCTAATTGAATCATCCATAGGATGACAAATCCGTCAGGGCCAAGTTTTCCAGACACTTGGGTGACTTCCTCATCACCGAGGTGACTTGTTAGCTCCAATGAGTAACTTGGAAGTGTCGCTCGCGGCAAGGTGTGAGTCTAGGAGAAAGCCGGCTGCTCACTCACGCTTTCCAGAGAGCGGCCCCGGGCGACTTCAAAATACACACAGGATCATTTATAGTGACTGGAGCCGTGCGCAGGTACTGAGACATTTTCCAAACAGCGCTGACATTTTGTCGGGCTCCATAAAAATGTAAACGCGAGGTGACAAACCTGGTGGGGAGTGTGCGCGCCTCAAACTGTACGCGCATTTTGCGGCGTGGGAGGTCATAGTTATAGACCCGGCGGCTTCGAGTCTCTGGATTCATCCCTGCGAGGAGCTAACGCACCCCCAACTCGAGGACCTCTCGGAGCAATGGGAAGGTATATCCGCTTGGGTGAGACACAGGGTGGAAAAGAGCCTTCGTTGGAGCTCCACAAACACGTGGAACTGGAAAAGGCAATTATAGCCCCGTGTGCGCTTGAGAGACCTCTCATCATCCCTTCAAGTCCCACTTCTCTGAAATTCCCCTTCAGTGGGGACTCACGAGTGGCGTGCAAGACCATTCCCTTGAGTCCTGTAACTTGCCCTGATTTTGTAGCCTTCAAGACCCTGCAGGTTAGAGGAAAAGCCAAAAACAAAAAACTCTTCCTAATTAGAAAAACTTTAAAACCTTGTTTACTCCATTTCCATGTCCTACATTGGACGCTTTTAGGCAACTGACAAGAACACAGCTTGATTCCTAACTGAGGGTTGCTATCTGTCTCAGTAAACAGATCTTTTAGAGAATCTGGGTGTTGAGGTGCGCTTATTCTTAAACCCGCGATAACACCATCAGCTCAGCGTCCAGCACTATTTCTAACCCCTAGTTCGTGTCTCTGAGCACTGTAACTCCCCCACACTCTCAAGCGCCCGGCTTCTCCCGTCTCTCGCCTGCGAGCAAAGTTCCTAAGGCATCCACTTACCAGGTAACCGGGATTTCCACAACAAAGCCTGGCGTTCGGGTCCCTTCCCCCGGCCAGCCAGAGAGAGTGACAGAGGGCGGCCAGCGCTGGCGAGGAAAAACTTGAGGCTCCAGCCCTTCAGCGCGCTCCACGGGCTTTGCCTCCTTCGGAAATGAAAACTCCCATCCAAGCCGGGGGACCGAGCGCCGAAACCCGGCCCAAGAGCCGTGTGTGCGCGCGCGCGCGTGTGCGAGGGCAGTGGCGGCAGGGAGAGGAGGAGGCAGAAGGGGTGGCTGGACCCTCGGCATCAGCTCATTCTGACCCCACCCCACCCGCCCCGCAAACACACAGACATACACACGCACATGTTGTTTTTAAAAAGTTGAGTTTCGACTTTGTGCCTCGCCCGTCCTGCTCATCCTCGCCCTGGGCCGGGGGAGGGGGGGTGCGTCTGGGGGCCTGCGCGGGATTCTGGCTAATTGCTTTCGGCGGGTTCCGTCGGGGAAACGCTGGTGCCAGCCTAGACGGCTGCGGGCGGCGAACGGGGCTGCGGGGAGGGGCAGCGGTGGCGGCCCCAGCGCTGGTGCCCGTGCGCGCCGCGCTCTGGGCTGCCCGGGCGGCGCAGTGTGACGCGGCTGCAGGGAGAGGGGAAGAGGGAAGGAGGGAGGGAGGGAGGCGGCCCGGCGAGGAGTGTGGATGTGTGTGCGGCCGCGAGGGCCGGCCTGTAGCCAGCTGCTTCCTGAGTGTGAGCTATGGAGGGGGAGGGAGGAAGGGTGGGGGCGGGCTCTCTGGTCACCAGGCTGGCCAATTCGAAGGCCGAGCTGTGTCTCTCTCTCAACGCTTTCAAGCATACACTCCTTTCTGTGCGCCAGGGAGTTGAAGAACTCCACAACAGGGTAACAGCAGAGAGATACTTCACCTCCTTCTTGGGCCTTATTTGTTGAACAGTTTTTTGTTTTTGGGGGGTTTTTTGGTTGTTTTTTTTTTTTAACACGAAAAAGTGTTAGCATTTCTACAAGAGTTCATGTCAAGTAGTAAACAAGTTTAAAACAATACCCAGTAATAAAATGGAGAGAAAAACTAAAAAGTGAAAAACGGCAAAAGGGTCTTTCTAATAATATACAGTATTAGATGCACATAACTTCAGAAATGGATAGGTGAAGATGCCCTTGGCAACTTTTTAAAGTAAAGAATAAGCAAAGAAGAGAGGAGGGTGATGGAAGTGTTACAAAGATGTAAAATTCTAGCACGGGCTGCTAGGAATGGAGGCATACTCCCTGCGTATGTTGTATCTATATAGTGGACCATAATGCTCTTTTAAGAATTCAACATCCTCAGCTTCATACTCCACCTAAGCTGTGACCCCTGCCCTTCTGCTTCGGTTGGTCAGAGCCCCAGAAGGCCAACTATTAGTGGTTCCATACATGTGCTGCCACGGACGCACAGAATTCCATCTTCGGAGTCAATTTATACAAAGCACACAATATCCTCCAGTTAGGCGTTTCTACAGTATTATTCACCTTCCTGAATGAAATGAATGAGGATACCTCAAGACACTTCGAATTTCACCAGTCCTTATGTTCTATTCCAGGGCTCTCACTCAAATATAAATTACCATTCAGCTAGTAGATGCTATGATCAAGATAAAAGCCCTCAAGTACAGATGATTCACCAGAGATTGTTAACAATTTTCATTTCTCTTACTTCAGAAATATTACTAGAATTTGGTCTATATCCAAGATACTGACGTCACCAAAAAGTCCAGTTTTCACAATACTTCCTATGTCTCGTTATGATCTGCTTTTCAAGATTCCTTCAGGGAAAGCATTTTTTTCCCTTTCCCAAAGACACAAACTCATCAGAATATTAATCACCAGAATATCTGTCAGCAGAAGTGGAGGGAGGGAAATAAAGTAATAAGTTCTTAGGATATGTCATTCTGTCAGTTTTCCAGTTTCTCCCTCTGATCTTCTTCAACCATCCAAGCCCAAGATGGCAATAGATGGGTTCAACCACACATAAGAAAAGAATATACTCATAAAATGAAGCATGCAGCAACATCACAAAAACAAAGAAACCAAGTGGTGGAAGTTGCCATGACTATTTCATTGTGGCTAGTTATTGCAACATGCTTGACATTCACATAAAAACTCCTCCTCATTAACTCCAGGAGCAGAGCAAGATGGGAACACTGACCCTGCAATGCATCACAGGAAATTCTCTTCATCATGACTCTCATACTGTACAGACTGCTCCCCAGAACAAGAGAAGCCTTAGTGGAGGCTGCAAAAAACCTGTCCAAAGTCCCTCAAATATCATTTCAAATACAATAGTTTTGATGCATGAAATTATATCCTAGGGGGTTGCAGAAGCTTCGCAAACTTCCCACTTGATGGGAATAGCTTAGTTGTAAGAGAAAAATATAGTGCTACACCCTACTTTAATCAATGGCTCATGGAAATAAAACACTAGGAAAGTTATGAGTCATCAACCTGGAGATCCCCAAAATTCTCTTCATTTATAAAAGCCCAAGGGTGGGAATGTCATTTTTGACTGAAGTGGTATTTTCATGAGTTTCTAACATTTCCAAAACATTTACCACTAAATAGGTACAATGTGTTGGCTGACTTTTATTTTTTTTGGCCAGGGATGTAGATCTGCAATGTCCATATTCCATGGGATATAGTAAAAATACAGTGTTTCCAATATAACCATAGAGTGACTCAGAATGAGATCTGTACCTCTTCTGGACTGAAATGGTCAACAGGAGTGGGGGCTGGGAAGAGTAATTAGAGAAGGTGGGAAAGGAAATAGTGCAGTTCAGAAATGACACTCTCCTTTCCCCATGAGCTCTTCATTTTGCTTAGGAATCATACCATGATAGCCTTTCAGCCAGATATGTGGGAACTACAACCCAGTTTTATCTTCCCTCTCTGGAGTCATTAGCTGTACGCATCTCAACCGCTGACTCAGGACAGCTGACTCAGCAGACAGAGCCCTGCTGCCAGCTCAAGTCCAGTTCTGATTTGAGAAATATTCAGTGAGTACCTACTCTGTCTCAGGATTGAGGGTAAAAAAGTTAATGTTTAGGCATTTTACATGGGAGGATGTTACATAAAGCATTTGCCCAGAGCCTGGGATATAGCAAACACTCAAGAAATGGTGACTCTTTGCATATATTGTCTCATCAAAGCAATCATGAGATAGCCACTGGCAGCCTCCTATTTAGATGAAATGAAGCTGAAGCTCAGTAAACAGTTAAAGAGAGTGGGAGGCAGAGCGAGGTTCGCCAGTCTAGAAGCCCCTAGTTCTTTCAACATGGCTCCCCTACAATATAACCATGCATGCTCTTTGAATGTGCGGAGTACAATGCAAGTGTGTAAAGTACAAGGTATCTTGTGATCAATGTCAGATAAGCACAACTTAGTATGGAGGAGGCAGGAATAATTTCCTACTACAAAACATGGGGTACGTAGCTTGGCTATTTCAGCTGAACTTCAGAGAATGGGTAGAGAATTGGTAAGCAAAGAAAACCATTCCAAGAAGAGTAATCAGCATCAGAAAGGGCACAAAAGCATAAGTCCTGTGTATCTGCTCATACAAAGCTACAGTACAAAATAGGAACATTCACAATCTCAGAGCTATATAGCAATGGAACACAGTGGACTCCTGGAGAGAACATCCTAATTGCAAACCTTCAGAAAAACTGTTATTTGTGTTAGTCTGAGTGGTCTGACAGCAAATCATTTATAAACTTACAAAGAACAATGATCAGGTTCATACTCCTATAAAGTATCTAGAGAGAGTTTTGACTCCAAAATGCAGATAAGTTGAGCTAACACCACCAGTGATAGTATTCCTAGCTATTAACACACACACACACACACACACACACACACACACACACGAGCTGGCAAGAGTCCAATTATGTAGAAATGCAGTGGAAAAAGTCAGTGTTTGCCAACTTAAAGAGAGGAACTAAATATGTAAGATGAAAAATTTCCATTTTACCTTCCTAAGCAAGTAGTACAAAATAGTGGAATGTTATCAGTGCTTGATAACCTAATAAAACTTTTAAGTTGATCTTTCTACTAATTTTGCCACAAGTGCAGTGATCCCAGACTCTCCTGCTTACACCTCATGCAACTTTTAAAAATTATTATTTATACTCATTACGTCCACAGCATCATACCTCTTTTCCTTTCTAAGGTCAAAACTGTAAATCAGAGTCTAAAATGTATCACTCCACATGCAACTGACCTAAATGTGAAATATTTTACTCTATACAAAGTCTCTCCATCTTTTCTCACTGGTAAAATTTTTCTTCCTATTTTATATACACCCAATTGAGATGCATCTTATATTCTACAAAGTTTGATAGGATATTTCTTGACATATTACTAAGGGATATCTACAAAGAGTTTACCTAAATAAAAATAAATTATTAGATATACACAATGTTTCACAGGCAGCCAGTTTCCTGTGGTAGTTTCCAGTTTCACTTAACTCCAAACTGGGCACTTAAATATGGCACTGTAAAATTAATTACCTGGTCATGATGCCATGTTAGCCATAACTGCCTTCTATACCTGCCTTCTACTGGCCAGAATTTACATTTCTTCATAAGTCTTTCATGGCCTAACAGCACTGGTCACTAGAAAGTAATTAATGCTAAGTGAATGTCTGAATTAATGAGGAAGTGAAAGAATGGTTTCCCTACTTTCAGATTGGTGAATATACACTGTCTTTGTGTATATGTGCAATCATTTCAATACTCTAAAAGAGTCTAAATACCTGTCATTCTCTTTCTGTGCCCTGAGGCTCTTCACTGTTAACTGAAGATTAAAATATTACTTCCTATTTCCTGTGGAAGAAAATTCACAGTCTCTGTGCAATGTTTAGAATCAGGAAGGTCAACTTCCCTCTCCAATGCCAAGATGATCTTTACTTATCTGACACCCCACTACCTCCTTTACACCACTCCAAACCGGCTCATTTGCATCACACCCTGTGTTCTCCCCGCCCCTCACTCTCCTCCCAGAATATCTGTACTAAATTATGGACAGAAAAAAGGGAAAATACAGAATGAGGATGCAGAGAGGAAAATGAATGTTTTAAAAATGAGAGGAAATAAAGAAGGCAGGGCAGCATTAGGACACCATCAGGATAACTGAGAACAATGAACAAGTTTTGGGTAGAGTTAAGCTTTGAAAAAAAGTGATTCAGTAGCTTTTCGGACTCTTCCCCAACTTACCTCAAGTTCCAAATACTTTTGTAAAGGGGTTTGAATACACTTGGAAGTTTTCTACAAATTCTAAATCCCTATGACTCTGAAGCACTCAGGAGATTTTTACATGTATAAACACTTCTATTCCCTTTTAGTTCTGTACAGCAGAGAGAAGTGTTATATTATTGTCCAGGCTTCAAAGAGAAATATTCTCCCACATTAACCATTACTCTTTTACTCTTTCAGGGCAGGGAGCTCTGCTTCCACCATACATTTATTTGTTCATATACTCAGGGAGGGTGTGTTAGAAGGAGGGTGCACTTTGGAATCAGAAAACCTAGAAATTCTAACTCCACCACTTACTGTGAAAGCTTGAGCTGGTTCCTGAACCACTAGGAACATCAGTTCAGCTACCTGAGTTACTGCAAAAATTGAATGGGAATTGCAACATTAGTCAGCCCATATATGCAACCAGGGGCTTCCTC